ACCAGGAGGGCATCTCATAAAGGGGGGTTTCGACGGACATGGAAAAAAAACCCTACCAAGGGAGCTCTTAGGATACTCTCCTAGCTGCAAAGTAGAATCCAAGGGGCTTCCCCAAAAAAATCTTGAAAATTGAGACACCATAAAGGAGGTTTGGACCTGCCCTTACTAAAAAATTGACTGAAATACAAATTCAACGATAAAAAATCACTCTATCATTTTGGAAAATCCATGAAATTTTTTGTAAGGGGCCAAGTAGATTTCTCAGGGAGGAGGAAACCCCCCTCCCCCTCCAAGTTCCGCCCATGATACATATTTGCACATACAACGAGTTTTATTTTTCAAATTCCTTCCTCCCTCCTCATCATTATAGCGCGCTCTCTCTCTCTGGTAAGATTCAGAGTTTCATTCATTTTCAACTTTTTTGTCATAAACCTTCCCTTCATATAAGTTCGAAGGGAACATTACCTAAGTACTGATAGTTCCTTTGATAGTTATACCAATTTGGAAAGAAACACCCAATCGCATCAATTTTGAACCGAGGAAAAGAGGTTTGAACTTTGCACTTTTATTTCTCCTTGAGACTTGATGCTAAAGACTAAATTCAACAACTGTTTTTCAGTTCAATAAATTGTTTTTAACTTAGAATTATGAATAGGGGAAAATGTACGACTTGTTGGATTCGAAACTCATTTTTTTTCTTTTTTCAAAATGCAACTTGGTGCATATGTGTAATACTTAGCCTGGTTGATCATGCTACTAAATTCTTCAGTGACTTCTTCGCAACATGAGTTTCACTTATAATTTATTTTAAGTCATTTTTCTACCTCTTAGACCCCAATTAAGATTGAGTGTCACAGGTTGTTTTTATCTTAAATCTGGAGAATTCTGTATCAAATTCTCGTATTCATTGATTTTCTGATTTTATATAATGTATTTTTGGTAAAGTGCAATATGCAAAGAGTTATGGATAAACCATTTTTGGCTTTTGAATCTTGTTCTCATTTGTCAGTACCTAATTTTTCTTTCTCTGTATAAATATCACATGTAACACCAAAAGTATGTACCGTTTTTGTAAATGTTTTAAAATTTTTGTTTCACGTTTATTTTCAAGAGAATATTACAGGACTTTTCAGTCTTTATGTCAAATTTTCAGAGAAAATTCCTTGAAGAGAAGGGGGAAAATGTCAACTTTGCACAATTAAAATGTCGGATTAACATTGAAGAAAGCATGATTTGATAGGAAATCTGAAATACTGAAAACCAAAATCTGTGGTTTTGTAAGTTCACAATTGATATGGTCTTGGACGAAGGTTTGGTAAGCAGTGGCTAAGACGGAGGCTCCATCAAAAACAAGAAAACATTATAGAAGTTTGAACTTTATTTTCTATTTAAATAAATAAGTTTTTTTTTTTCAGTTTCCACCTTGTTGATAGACGTCATTTACATTTAGTCGTGAGTAGAATATGCTAGATAATTTAAAGCATTTAGGCAAAAATAAAATAACAAATAAGTAAAACTACAGTCTTAAGCTAAATAATTACAGAAACAGATAAAAAAAGGTAGGCAGGTGCCTCTGATGTGAATCACAAAAAAGTACAGGGTATTGAATTACAACAGTAAGTATTCTGAGTTAAAACTCACACCACCATTAAGTATTTATACTTAAAAATCATCTGATACTGCAGTATACAGCCCTTATCAGGCATAATGACCACAAAAAACCAAGAGACATAGAGGAAAAATTTTGGATTTTGAAAATAAAATCGGATTTGAACCAGATTGAGCGCCAAGCCCAAGAAAATGAAATGACTTTTTACTGCCTCTTGAGGAAAATAAAAGCATGCTCAATCTGAGTTCATTTTCATCATTAAAATTTCTAGAAAGCCTAAAAAACCCCAAGAACGAACAGCATTGAGCGAGAAGATTACCAAATGCAGGGTGTCTTAAGACTCAGCAGGACAAAAAAAATCTGATTTCCCAGATTTTAACTAACCATAAGCATAGTAAATTGACTTTTTTCATTGAAAATTTGCATGCGTAAGACTGCAATATTCGGCACTGCTTTCACCGTAAATTACAGAAACATGTGAGCCTCTTTCCTTATTAAATGAAAAACCAATTCCTTATCGAAAATCATTCCTCTCCTCATTTTCCACAGAGCATTAGACTCAATTTCATTGTATGTACACTGTACAGCCGTAATTTTTTCCATATTTCAAAATTCCAGAATTTTTTTTTTATTAAATTCTCCGACTTTTCTCTGATTTTCCTGACCTGACATTTTCCAATTTTCCAAATCTGTAGACACCCTGCAAACATCAATCTCAGAAGTTTCATAAGTGATCTAAAAATGAGAACGCTGGAATTATTAATAAATAACTACCTAAACGACATATTATGCATTATGAAATTTTGTAACAAGTCTTATGAAATTTAAATAAAATAATTGACTTAGCCTGCATGCCTTTAAAAATACGACGTGTATTTTATAGAGAGAAGTCTCCCCGGAGAGTTAAAAGTTAGAGAAAAGTTAAAATTTCAAGAACATAACATCTCTGAGAGAGGTAGATTTTATTTGGGTACAGAACGTTTTGAAACAAAATAAGGAACACATAGCATTCAATACAACTTACGTGGGAGACGTAGGCTCCTGACTCCTATCAAGGAGTAAATAACCCACATCACAGAAAGTGATGAAGTCATGAAGTGTGAATGGCAAAATCTAATGAGTATACTGATCTATTGTTAAAAGATGTAATAGCTCCGGATAGCTTCGAATGTACGTCTTTCTGTCAAACGGTACTATGTGCATTACGACGCGAGCCCTGTTATGCATATATTCTTATGGGTCTTAGGGCTCATGTCTTCATGCACATGGTTCTGTTTGGCAGAAATACGTCCAAATGAGCCGATGAGCCAGCGTTTCAACCACTAAGCAAAGGACAAAGTCAGTATTACACTCTTTCCCTGTCAGTTTTCTTGGCTGGGACTATAATAAGGTTATTCAATGCTAACAGAACAGAACAAAATATTCCTCAGTATGTGGAATGTAGCCAAGTGCTAGAAATGATGTAAAATTTTTTTAAAAACTTACATTTTATTGATAAAATTTGACCGAAGCTTTTCAAAGCAAGCGTTTCATCATCAGGGTCAAAAGCGCTTGCTTCGAAAAGCTTTGATCAAATTTTATCAATAAAATGTAAGTTTGTAAAAAAAAGTTAAATTATTTCTAGCACTTGGTTACATTCCACATACCGAAAAATTTGAAGTCCTACTACCTTTTGGACATTGTGCAAAAGTGCAATATTCGCTAAACTTGAAAGCATTCCTACTAGATATCAAAGATGAGAATTGCATTTAACAGACTCTCTCTTGCCTATGAATACGTTGGATGATCGTTACAAGCATTTAGGTCAAATTTTAAGTGCTTTTAAAGGCGCCTGACACCAAATGAGCCTCCGAGGCTGATAACTATGGTGCATTTCAAAGTGATAAACGCTTCTTTTATTTCAAATGAAAAAATGAGATTACAAATAAATATTTTTAAAGAAAAACTAAAGAGTAATAATAATCTAAATCGTTGGACAAGTAACAATTTGCGGGATCAAGTTTGGGAAAAGTTTGCAGAAATTAAAGCTGAACTATCAATTGAAAATCTAAAAAAGAAACAATTGATGTTTGTAGTTGTCAGAATAGAAACGATGAATAGTTTAACTTTCGTTTTTGTTCATACTGCCATCTTAATTTTTCTTGCACGATAAGATATCGATGGTGAAACTACCAAACCACGTATCTCGGTTTGCGACGTCGCAGACTTCCTGTCATACTTTATTTTTGCTTTTTTTTTTACTTTTTTTTTAAATGAAAAACTACGTAATGGCGAGTCTTGAGAATTTCTGTGATTTTTCCTCTTCGTGCGAAGAAAATTCTGTGAAAATTTCAAGGAATGATATTGATTTGGTCTATTTCAAAAAAAATAAAATGTGAGCGTAGATTTTTAAACACCGCAAACGAGATACGTGGTTTGGTAATTTCACCGTCGATATATTTGTTGACGCATTATCAACACACCTGGAATCTACTGAAGTATCTGCTGTATCGAAATACTGCATAATACAGTTTTATCCTGGACTGCAATTATTTTGACAAAAATTAGGAGAGTTCATGAAAAAAATTGAATTTTACATACTCGATAAAAATTTAAGTTCATATCGAAAAGTAAGTTAAGAAATAAAGAAATCACAGATAAAATAAGATCTTACAAAGAACTTTTCATGCCTACTTCATGAGAATTTGTTGCCTAGAGCTTTAAACTCTTACGTAAATTGAAAACATTCTAAGACATAGGTGAGATTTTGGGGAGTAAAGCTCCATTACAATCAAGATTTAATTATGAAATGAAACACTAATTTTCTCCCCGAAAAACTGCTTGGTTTTACTGAGTGCTAGCTCTGCTTCTTTGTGAGCTTTGAAACTAATTAGCATTGAAGGAGCAGTCAAATCCTCATGTTCGATCTTCAATTCGCCAAATTTTGACATGTGTGTCACAATAGCGCCTTTGTTTTCTACCTCAAAGTTTTGGACTAAGAGCTTTGTCGGTCGATGGTCAACTGAAAGTGAGCTGACTTTGGGTAAAACAGGCCTCCTGGCGACAACCGGTGCTGGGGCACTCCCTCCAGCCAGAAGTAGAATCTCTTTCTTGAGCTTTAAGATTCTTTTCTCTACTTCAGTCTTGTCGCTTCCTTTTTGCTGGGCAGAAAAGAGGTCTAGCTCTGCATCCAGTAATTCACGCTTCACTTCAGCCAGCTTCGCTTTCTTGTCGACTGGATTCAGGGCCCCTAAATCTGAGCTGACAGCTTTGAGTTTGCTCACACTACTCGCTAAACTCGCCCTTATTTCTTTGATACTGGCATCCAGCATTTTAATCGTTGCTAAAATGGAGTTTCTATCTTCTGCGCTATGCGACCCTTTCTCCAGTTTTTGGATGAGAAGCTTCTGTTTAGCAATTTGTTCCACGAGTAACTCCTGCTTCAACTTCAGCAAATTTGCAGTGATTTGCTTAGCTTCAATCTTCTTCTTTTTGACGATGGGAGGTTTAATGACTTTTCTCCTTTGGTCTAAGGTGTTGGTTGTGCGTAAAACAAAAGGTCTTAACTCTTTTTTAAACTTATTTTCAGTCTTGAAAGTTACAGGTGGAACGTTTTCCACTTTTTCCACTGCAGCCTCACCTTGCATCACAACTTTGATGAATCGGTTTCTCATCACTGGTGCAGGGCTTCGTAGAGCAGCAGCCGCCTCGTGGTCTTTCGAAAACGTCACCAGCGCTGCACCGGGATCATCATTGTGATTCACTTTGATATTAACAACCTTACCGAACTTAGAAAAGTGATTGAACAAAAGAGTTATTGTATTAAGCTTTGGTGGAATACACATAATTTCTAGAGTACATTTGGAGGGCTCCTCTTGGACGGGCTTTGGTCCTAAACGGCTAAAAACATCACTCTTCGACTTTCCTCTGTCACTCTCTCCCCGGAGCAGAGCATCACTCATTATCTTCTGCGATACCCACTCTGAGAGGTTAGTTTTAATGCTGGTAGGGTTATAATGCGGACTGGAGCCGGGGACTTCCAGCGAGTTGACACTTACAGAGGGCTGTTGAACGGGCAATAGAGGAACGCTGGAAGGTTCCAGCACGACTGGATTCGAACCATGGTCAAATGGACACATGTCACCTCTCATGCAGAACCCCTTTTCCTCAAAGTCAATGCACCTTTGCTTTTCAGAATAGCTGGTTGCACAAAAATCTTGACTCAACAAGTCGAGACTAGCCTTTGGCTCATGACTAGACTTCCCGAACAAAGGGGAGAGGGGTGAAGGGTTTCTATGTCTATAGGTTGACCTCTTGGGGGAATAGGAGCCTGATCTTGAGCGTGACCTGGATCTGAGAGGTGACCTGGAGCAGGATCTGGTCCAACTGCGCCGTCGGTTGGAGTAATACTTCCTATCGGTAGAAAACTTGCGGTACCTCTGAGCGTAGGGTGGTCTACGGACTGGTGACCTGCGATACCGTCGTCTTTCCCACGAGTTGGAGCGCGACCTCGAGCGAGAACGCGGGCGTGGAGATCGAGTTTTGGAGCGCAGACGCCCGGAGCGAGATCTAGAACGAGGGCGCAAATTTCGCGATGTTGAGCGCTTGCGAGGAGATCGCGATACGGAACGTCGCGGAGACCGCGACCTCGACTTGGTCCACCGCTTGGGTGGAGGGCTCAAAGATCGTCGTTTTCTTGGGGGCAAATCATCTTTCTGAGAAGACGTTGCTTCAGACTTTGTTATTTTTTCAACAGGCTTATCAGGGAGTTTGTCCCGAGGAATTTCTGTTGTGGCAGAAACTAGGGTCGTGAGAGAGGTGTTGGCAACGTGTACAGGGGTGATGTAGCTCTTAGTAGCTATGGTGTGAAACAGTGTGTCGACAAAGGCGACGGTTTTCTCTTTAAAGAAGACTTCCAGCTGAGAGATGGCTTTTGTTCGGAGCTCGTCCAGCGGCTTATTTTTCTTGACCAGAGCGTAAATATATTTCGCCAGTGCGACTGGGTCGGCTTCGATCATGCACTTCACTTGCGAGGCGAGCCATGCCTTCAATGCGTCCGGGTCCTCTGCATGGTTATAAAACAAGGCAGTCTTAGTCTCAGCACATTGATAACTTTCACAACTGAATAAAAATGTGTCATGTCCGTACCAGCATAACCTATTTCAGGGTTTCTACTACAGGGGAAAACCAGGAAAACCCGGGGATAGAATTTTGAGGGAAAACCCGAGGAATTTGACGCTGACTCTTAAAATTATCGCTTTTTCAAATGGAACTTCTGTCTACTTGAACGAATGAACATTAATGAGCACAATATTTTTTCTAGAATGGAATTGTGTGGGAATGAAGTTAGAGGCAGAGGTGGTTTTTTGAGTTGACAATTATCAAAACTTTGGGTGAGTGATTATGTTACACCTCTCTGTGACCAATGAGTCATAAATGGTTATTTTATGCGATCAATCAGGGGAAAAACAGGGAATTTGAAAGTTGAAAAGAGTAGAAACCCTGAGACATCCACTTACCATGCACAGAGGCTATTTGTAGATACAATTAAATGTTCGTGAATAGCACACAATGTTATTTAACTAGGATTGATCTAAGAACAATTTCTAAAAACAGTTCAGTTACAAATGCCTGGTTTCATTTACATTGCTCCCTCCACAATGAGAGATTGCATTTATTTAGCCCCATTCACTTTTTCTTTCCTTCACTTTCATTCAAACGATGAAGGAAATAAGGAGCTAATGGGTTCCAGTTACAGTTTTATTACGAAATATGAACTGATTGCAGTCTGACGCGCGTATTTTTTTGACAGAGTGTGTGAGAGATTGATTTTGCCAGATGTGATAAATTTACGAGGAGGGACCAAAAAAAAAAAAAACCAGAATTTTGCTGTAACTTGGCAATGATGGAAGATATCCGGGTTCCACCGCTAGGTGGTGTAACTAGGAGCTATGAAGAGTCACTATGCCAAATTTCAACGTTGTGGCACATTTTGTTTTATTTTGGCGGGACTTGGTGTAAGGGGTTGTCTAGCGAGTTCGTCGTTTTTGAAGCTGGGTGATTTTCACAGGCAATGCGCGGCTAACTCGGTCAATTTTTGGAGTAAATCTTGCAGGGAACATGTTTCTCTCACGACAGAAGTGAATACATGTTTTTATTCGTTTTAGAGTGTGATTTATTGCTCGAAATTAGGCTGGATGCCCAGCAGCAGTCACTGGCTAGAACGCTAAATGGGGGATCAATTCGGCAACAACGTGTTTTAGGCCCAAATTTTTTACAGCAATGTTTTGAATATTTCTGTATTACATTCAAGTGATATCTGCTAGTTAATTAAATGATCTATAACCACCCTCACACACAAAAATGCAATTTTATTCATTATTTGCATCAGTTCTATCCAATGGAGATGGCGGTTTGTAGCCTTAGAGGAGTTTTGGGCAAAGACATTGAATCATGTAGACCGTGCATCCTGTGTTACGGTAGGCGAAGCAACTTTTAAAAATTCGCATGTGATGAGTGGTAGCACCAACCCGCATCGATGAGTTCGTGTGTCCCAGTTGCGCACATCTGCGCATGCGCAGTAGCGGCTCCAGTGAATTTTTGTCGGATTGTGAGGCTTTTTTTCCTCGGTTGGTAAGTAGTTCAGAAAAATGAAACAATGCTATTTGGGTGTAAAATTATGTGTTTTAAAACTTTTATTCTTAGGAATTTTGTCTGAAAATGGACTCTAAACGAGATATTCGTGAAAAATCGAGGGCGGGCATGAATTCTCCATTGCTTCTCTCCAGTCTCTTCGAGTGCTTGGGACACACGCTCTCTCCTCTTCCCCGCCTGCCCATCATGGGGCTCCGAGAGACTTGCTTCGCTCCGCCTGTACTAAACCGAGCCAGACGCACGGTCTACGTGATTCAATGTCTTTGGTTTTGGGCGATACAGCACCATTTTTAAAGTGAAAAACCGAACTTACACTGAAGTTTTTGATGAGGCTTGTCCTTCAGAAGCAGCACTTCAAAAGGTTACCAGAGAAATTCGTGTTTTTATCGAGTAAGAGAGATAAACTTGAGCGTTAAGTGTTGTTACGGAAATGGACCCATCTTCAAAAATGACAAACTCGCGAGACAACCCCCTAAACCAAGTCCTGCCAAAATATAACAAAATGTGCAACGATGTTGAAATTTGGCATGGTGACTCTTCATAGCTTTTACTTACACCTCCTAGCGATGAAACCTGAATATTTTCCATCATTGCCAAGTTACAGAAAAATTCCGGGTTTTTTTGGGTCCCTACTCGTATGCATTTTATAAGAGAATATGAGCTTTTTCCCTCTATAATGAGAATTTCAGTTAATACTCAATTTATCCTACATAGCAAAATCACCACCCCTGTCTACCGTTTTATTGCATGGCAAAGTGATCATGAATTTTCCATTAAATTTAAAGAAGAAAAATACATAGAAGTCTGGTACAGACATGGCACTATCTACTTCACAATCCCCGAAAATCTTTTCTTCGAGTACCATAAAAATTACTGCTGTTTAGACCAATCAAGACTGAGAAAAATTTGGATCTTTCAGTTATGAATGTAATATTTTCATGCATACACTATGAAAGCAACTTGAATTTATTCCTAGTAGGATCAATTTTATGAGAGAGAAATTATTTTTTACTTTGAGGCTACCTGAAAGCCTTCTGCTTGACATGATGGTGTCACTGTATTTAGATGTTTCCAAAAGTAAAACATTCACAACTGTAAGATTTTTGGACCAATGATCGACCTGTTTCATGGAGGCTCTGTCTTAGCTTCCGGATGAAAATAAAAATATGCTTGACTTCAGTCTAGTTAAAGATACGAAGACATATTTTAAAATATTTAAAAAAAAGAGAGTTGATAAATTTGCCGAAACCATTCAATGCTGCTGAAAAAAACTTAAACATTTGGAGAAGAGCAGAGAAAACACACAACCTTTCAGTTTCACAACATAGCACCGAGCAGCTTACATGCTGTAGTCATCATTTGCCACAATATAATTTGAGATCATCATGTGTTATAAATACAATAGCCAAATCGTAAAATTTCAAAGATAACTAATTTCTCTTCCTTCTCCTCCTGATAGTGTTGTTGAATTCGTTTAACAACAGTTAAAGATATTTTGAGATTCTCCCTCATCTCAGAGTTGGTTTTTATTAGCCTTTTCTAGACCTGCAATGCAGAATCTTCACATTTTGATGCCCCCATTTGGAAGCTTTTCCGCATTTCCCTTGTCGGTTTCCTAAAAATTTTTCCACCGAACACCCTAAGTCTAGTTATAATATGTTTTTTTAGTACGCTGGCATTATAAGGTATCAATTTTGTGCGCTTTATCAGTAAGACATACGACGATTCCAAGAAGGAATAACAGAGGGGGAAAAACTAATGATCAAAGCTGTCGTAAATTAATTTGATTCAACGTCATAATCAAAAGAGAGGAGAGAATGAGAGAAGTAATTTTCAATGATAACACGATTGTCTTCTAAATGGACTGGTCACCATCAGCCATCCCTTCCCCCAAAAAGGTGACCTCAGAATAAGAATAGTAGGGGCCCAATCTCTACGACTTAAGTTCTAGAAATAGAAAACATAAATTCCTTACAAATATCCGAGCTAAACACAAAAACCACCCCGAATCGAATTTATTGCTCCCTTATGAAATTGACAGAAGTAGGCATGTTGAATATAATTGAAAAAGCAGGTGGAAAATTTCCTTTTCTGGAATTAAGAACGCAAGGAGGATGAATTGGAAAGATGGAAAAGTTTGATACACTGGACTTTTCAATGATATTGACCATCTGGTACGACTGTATCTGTAATCTTCGGAGAAATTTTGCTGAGAGTGAAAATACAAACTCATTCTAACTCCAAATGGAATTAATAGTACAAAGAGGAAAAAAAAATCTATGAGTCTGTTGAACTTAAAGAGGAACCGACTAATGGCTAGTGGTTCTGACGGTTTTGAGGCATAGAAAAACGATGAATAAATAGTGCTATGTAGCTATCCATCATCATTCCATACCAAGAGCCTGAAATTTTTCAGGAAAATGGCCAGAACAGAGTTGAATCCATACTACCTAAATAAAATAGTATTTTAAACAAAACAAACTGCGAAAAGACCAACACAAAGCCTACGAGAAATAACCGAAGTTCCATTTGAACAAATTTTTTTGCAGACATTAAATATTTTAATACAATAACTGCTAGTCAGCAGTTGTTGCGATGACTTGTGTTTGTGATCGCGACTACTTACGATGACTTATTCTGAAAAGAAAATTGAGAAAGGTAATTTGTAAGAGAAGATACTAACCGATTATGTGCGTCTTGCTATAAGGCTCCAGGTTAGAGTACAAGTGTTGCATTGGCATTGTTGGCTCGATGTTACTGTACACGTTGTCACCAGGCTCAGAAGCTGTAAAAAATAAAAAGATGGTTTTTGAGCAATCATAGTTAGTTTAATAAACATAGTATATCCACAAAAAAATTATACTACTTCATACACAGCTTCTACTTTGTCAGGTCCCATGCATAATGCAGGGTTCTGTATTCCCTCAGTGTCATGGGCTGATAAATTTTCTACACTCATCCTAAAAAAATTGCACAAAATTTCAGGGAAATTTTGATAACTTATCCTTGAAGAAAATGAAACAGATTGGAGATTTTTAAGCATTGAAGTTGAGTAACACATTTGAGCATTCAGCCAACAATAATAAGGCTAATTGCAGAGATCATGCTCTTAGTCTTGAACGCTCATTCTTGATGTTCACTGCCACCGATTCAGTTTGTTGAAAATTATTCTGACTGTGAATAAGAGAGTTAATTTTCAATAGACCACTAGACAAGGTACGAATTCCAGCATTTTGATACATGTTTCTTAACTAAAATTTGACGTAAAATACGACGCGCACAACGAAAATTACCGAAATCAACTCCCTCCAAAGATATTTAATGATTCTTGATGCGTGAATTCAAACCACCCGCTCATTAAAACTCAATGCTCTACGTGATTCACATCGTGCGCTAAACGTTATCATGACAGTATCTGCAATTTAAAAATCTGGCAACCTCAATTTTGACGCTTTGGCTCAGCTATAGCAAATTGCTCATAGTTTGAACAACACATGGTGGGAAATGAACATTGCTCGATTGAGAAGCTTGCTGAGACTATTGAAGTGCGCGATTTGACTCACGTGGAGCTCTGAGTTTCTTGTGAGCGGGCAGTTCAAATTCCTCGTAACCAATGTGAAACAAAAACGTTGATATCTTCGTTAAGAGTTAGTTTCAGTAATATCCGTTGCGCTAATCGTGTTCTATGTAAAATTCTGGTTCAGAAACATGTATCAGATTGCTTAAATTCGTATCTTGTCTAGTGGTCCATTGTAATAGGATGTCTTGATGTGGAACAGGTTATAATTAGGGGCGCTGAAACTTCCAAGGGTCCCTCAAAATAAATTTAGGTTCCCTCATTTTAAGTTTTCGCAGAATTTTGCCCGACAAATAAAGTAAAGCGGTTGGCAATTGGGTTCCCGCAAAACAGCGCGGTCAACAGTTTGGTTCCCCGAAGAACAGCGCGCTTGAAAGTTTTGCTCCCTAAAAACAGCACACTCAACAGTCAAGTTCCCCCTACACCCTAAAACAAAAAAAAAAAAAAAAAACCTCCCAAGGTTCCCCCAATTTTCTCATCCTCACATGAAGACCTTCAATCAATAACGGGCCAAGTGGCAAAAAAATGAAAATCGAGTTATACCTCAAATAGCTTTCTATGTACCAAGGACAACAACCCCGGAAGTGGGCTGAGTGCCACGACCATGATAGTAGTGTGTAAAGTGCCCCGATTGGTAGCACTGCGTGGTATGTGCTGGGCAACCTGTGGGAACTAACTGGTGAATAACTGAAACTTGACTTTTTGGCACTTAGGCCGTTATTGATTTATGGTCTTCACATGGATTCCCCCATTTCACACGAACGGCCGGTCACGTGGTTGAGAAGTTTCTGCACCCCTGGTTATGACTGATTCATACCTGTTACAGGGAGTATATTTGAATACACTGGACCAGAGTTTGTGCCAGATCTTTTTGTTTCTGGCGCTGCTGTTTGGAGCGGAACTGAATATGATGGCTCACATGCTCCAGACAGCTGGTAACTCTTTGGAACCTGGAATAGATAAAGAAAATTAAATTCACGATTACGTAGTTGACTACCAAACTATGCTTTCCATCACCATTTGAATATAATAATTATGTACAAATACACTTACTGAGAAAAAATACTCCTGCATTTGAGATATGTTTATTTGCCTCTTTTAATGTTTGGAATTTTATATATGGAGGGAGAGGGCTCAGAGGTCATGTCTAGTTACCTCTGATGGGGGATAATATTGTCATTCTTTCAATTACAAGGCCAGCCAAGACTCAGGGGCACAGGAAGTTTCAAGCCATTCTCCAAATTTAATCGACCTCCCTTCATTCATATCCAAAATTCCAGATCAGTTCCTTCTCAAGACAAAATAAAAAAACCTTGTCGGCCAAAAAAAATGGGCTATATTACTGCAGTGTGCTGTGAAAATAAAACTTTAAAAAAAATCTGATAGGATTCCTTATTTTTGCCTGTTCTTGACTTCTTGGGCCTTATCTCTGCGGGATATTTTCATGAGATTTGGCCCAAGTTTGAATCACAGAAATGAAACTTCTGGGATTTTTCCCAGTTACTGTCTCCATAAGACGAGGCTCATACAGTCCTGCGATTAGTTTTCGTGGGAAGATAAATTAGTTAAAGTCGAGTATTTAACCAGGACGAAAATAATAATTGCACTCAATTGACAATTAGACACATTATTGTAACTAAACAAACATTAACAATGGAGTAATCAACAAAATATCGCACAATTCGTTTCTACTTCTTCTTCCTCTCTCGGTGGGTCCGAGGAGTACAAGGACCATACATGGTACGGGGAAAAATATTAATTAACTCAATATTTTTCCTGACTTTGTAAGTAGGATTTTTCCCACAGACAAATCCCAAGAAACGGCCCGAGGAGACAAGGCATCACAGAGGTTCCCCATTGAACGCTATATGATCGAGAAGCTTCTGCACCCCTGATTTGGCACTGGCATTAAAGACGTAAGAAAGGAACCAATATCAAAGCATTATAGGATAAAAGAAAAAAAAAAAAAAAAAAAAAAACCATAAAGTAATCTGAGGGAAGGCTGTGGTAAAATACAGAAGATTAGGAGCAGGTACACAAAAAAACTGGGATGTTTCAAAATAATTAAAATCTCATTTTCGACTGGAAAAAAAGCATTATAGTTGAGTCATCAATTTGATGTTTTGGCGAGACAGACTGATCACAAGCAAACAAACCCTGCCTATTACCGCAAAACCAAGGCATGTAGAAACAAAGATTAACAAAATAAATTTAGGAAAAAAGTTATGAAAAAATTGACAAAATCAATATTTTAGCCAACATACTTGTGGTTGTGGTTTCTTAGGCTTCGGAGGTACTGCTGGACCGACTTTTTTCAAGGGCGATGTTCCCATTGGCTGATTCATTTTTGGTTGGAAGCATTCAAAACTCCTTCGGTTTCCCCTAAAAGAAGACAGTAAACCAATGTAAAGCAGGGTATTTTGTTTAAGTTTAGAGCAGGCTTAGACTGAGGGTTTTAAAATGAATGTAGTACTGGTACAATGATGCAGAAAAAATGTAAGTACATACTTATAGTGCGTCACACTGTACAAATGCATAGAAGTTTTGCTCAAGATTGATGGTCACTTTAGCTTGATTGAAAAAAATACGCTGTCATTAAAAGATAGAACAGATTTAAACATTCATGACTGTGTCATGGGGTGCTACCCCATCAAAACTTTGCTTGTACTTGGTTACTTTAAGGTTATTCGATGGACGCCATTTTTTGTGTCAGAATGGCATGCGATATATCGCATCAATTGGTTCCATTTTTTCAGTTACTCGTCATTTTTCTCCAATTTTGAGATCGCAATTCTGTTGTCAGGAAACTTAAGCACTCACTTGCCAATTTTAACGAAGAAATTCAACGTAATAAAGGCGTGGTATTTTTAGAGAGAAAATATCGGATTCGAGTGCAGTTTCGATATCAGTATCGAATGCGATGTTTTCTCTCTGAAAAAACCGCGCCTTTATTACGTTGAATTTCTTTGTTAAAATTGGTAAGTGAGTGCTTAAGTCTCCTAGCAACAGGATTGCCATCTCAAAATTGGAGAGAAATGACGAGTAGCTGAATAAAAATGGAACTAATTGATGCGATATACCCCATGCCGTTCTGACACAAAATATGGCGTCCATCAAATCACCTTAACATTCACTTTTGGAACATCTATGCAGAACAACTCCAGCTCTCTCTATGACTTAAGTCACTGGGTTACAGTTGAAGCGTGAGTTCTTTTACGCAAATGTTCACAAATTAAGCAACAGCTTAGGCTGATCTTAAATAATTGATCATAAGAGCCAAAATTTACTACGACAGAATCAGAATTGCATTCCAACTAACTTACATCCCTCCAACACCTAAATACAAATTGAGCACCGTCTTGAATCACAGTTCGCTTGGTATAATTAAGTAAATCTGAAGCTATCAGTGGTAGTATTTTTACTGAACTATCAGTCAGCAGAAATAATTTTTAAAACATGAATCACTGCAAGTTAATATCTAACACCTAATAGAGAAAGCAAAGGCGTCCGATTTGTTAGAGCCAGTCGACTGTAGATATGACCGTTTCTCCGCCAGTCTTCCACAGACTGCAGATTCTAATCCGTCAACTTAGAAGTCATAAAGTCAAACTGCATATTATATGATGGCAGCGATTCATCTGATAAGGTGAGAACAGGACGGTGCCATGTTATAACGACAGATGATTCTGTTCTACGCTCTGAACTTTCGGCCGTAGGCACCGATAAGAACAGATTAAAATTTATGGGATTTGCCACTTAACAAACAACTGAAATAGCATGACTAGTAAAATATGTGAGCGAGTGTTGATGGGAAACTTACCAGGTAGGTTTCTTTGGCTTCAATAGGCAGTAATTGTGTCACTACTTTTTCACACTGCTCTTGTTGTGCAACCTAGGTACTGAAGGTTAGCAGTTGCTCTTCATCTGCTAACTCGAGGAGTGAAATTGGAAATAATGGAAAACATGAAAAAAGGAAGGAAGGAGGATTCTGAAGAGATTTAGGAAAGGCCAATGGCCTGGACACCCCGCAACATGCTGACGGCACGAAAGTTTCGCGTGAATCACTCACGAATGACTCACAAAGAAGAACTTACATTATCAAGCGGAAGGAAGGGCAAATTACCGGCGAAAAAATGGGGCGAGGCACACAAGATTAGAAATTACAAACTGAATTTTCGGCACTGAAAATCCGATCCTACATCATTCGACACTGATAATCCGGTCCGACATAATTCAGCTGAAATTCGATCAAATTCCCTGAAATTCCCGAGTCGTAGGGAATAATAAGGGATGGACGAATATTGAGGTCGAATGCGATTATTCGAAACTTATCGATTGCGATTATAAATGCGATTTTTTGAGAAATCAAATCCCGCATCGGGTGAAAATACTATCAATGGATGTAAAATGCTTAGGTATGGACAGAACTAAACAACTGGCCTCTGATTGGCTCTCCAGCGGCCCCTTAACGTCAGCCATTTTGGATGTTTTGATTATTTTGATTTATTATGTTCGGTTTATCGTTTGTCAAAATTTTGTGGGATTTTTTGCACAATTTTGGTTATGCGATATTAATTTTAGTGTTTAAACGTACAAACGTTTGAATGTTAATTTGATTGTAATTTAATTAAAAAACGGGCCACTTAACCTACGTCACGAGGTCATGTGACACGTGCTGAGGCTCATGGGAAATTTTCAACTTTTCCATACCTATAGGATACGGGAAAATGCATGCATGGCCGCCATGTTGAATCCCCCACTACAGCTGGACCAATATCGAATATCGTATCGCATGCGACTATTCGATTATCGCACTATCGATTCTTTACCATAGCTTCTAACGGGGACATGGCGGTATTCGATCATTCACAAAACTTGGCAAGAAATCCGCCTCAAGCAACCGGCTTCGTTTTCTCACCGGCTCGGCTATTCAGGAGCGAAGCGTATAAGAATGCCCCCGGGCATCGCCTTACTTGTTGCGGCTATTTTACTCTTTCCTGGGGATTTCGTGCTAAACCAATCTATTTCTGGGTTATTTTGATCGTAGATTTCATTTCTGACCTTACTTTCTTCAATAAAATGACGCAAATATACAATTTTACGCGTTCTTCCAAACTTTCCGGAGAAATATAAAAATTTATAAGTTACTCAAAGATAAATTTTACTCGTTCTTGTGGGCATTTCGTGTTGAAACTCGGAGACATTAGAGAATTTCGATAGTAAAATTCATTTTTGACCTTATTTTCGGTGATTTGTTGACACAAACACATGATCTCGGATCTCGGATCTCGCGCTTAAAATGAAAAGGTACTCACCGATAGATTGTACTCATCTTCGTAGACATTTCGTGTTGAAACTTCGCAAACTAATGGTACCTACATAAGTATTTTGATCGAAAAATTCATTAATGACCAAACTTATGTTAATGTATATGACGACACATGGTGGGGGGGGGGGGGGATATTTTCAAACTTGTAGTAGAGTAAAAAGAATTGGAAAAGAAGTTATTCAAGAGCTGCATGCCGTGAGGAGCCAAGAGAAGCGAACTGCGATCGCGCGGCGAAGCGCTCGGTGTCGGGACGTACCGCTCTCCCGGCCCGCCTTGATTCCGCCGCCGAGCAGTGGCTCTGCGCTCAGCCACAGCCAGCTCAGAGCTATGGAACGCCGTTAGTGTCAAAACCCTTTTCTTGCGCGCGCGGTATTTTTTTTCGGCGCGCGGAAAGAAAAAACCCGTTTTCGATGAAAATCTCTGAATTTCCGGATTCCGCGCCGGTTTTCGATATTTTTGCGTCGTTTGTGTCAAAACTATTTTTGTCGGCGCGCCGCTTCAAATCTGTTCCGCGCGCGGAATTTTCGTTGTCCCGCTTTGTCCGCGTTCGCGCAGCGCGCTGCGCCACCTCCGCTCCGTCCGCTCTGCCGCTTTCCTATATACTTTTATGGCTACTATAAGTATACGTATTTCTGTCTGTCTCTCTTTTGGTTTTTAATGCAATTTACTTATAATACATTTTATAATAATATTTGCTAAAATTGGACGTATTTCTATTAAACGGAACTAAGCGCCAATTTGAGTTCCTTTTGAGGAATTTAGAATCCCGGATAGCGCGTCCTGTCAAACGGACCTAAGCCCAGGCCCGCCACATCCTATCTCGGGCCCTGGTACCAGTTTTGAGGCCCGGGCCCCCAGCACAGAGGGAGTCCGGGGGCCTCCCCTGGGAAATGTTTAAAATTTTAAATCTACTTGTATTGGACGCATTTTGAAGCTCCCATGACGGAGATTTTCCATCAATTTCTGCAGAATAATTAAATCTTAGCACAAAATACTTTTGGATTGTTGCATTCAAAACACCTGGAAATTTTTTTCGGGAGGGGGGCAGATGATACTATTTTCAATTCTAGGGTGGTCCAAGCCTCCCTGAACTCCTCTTTTGTACGTCTATGGCAAGGAAGTTGAGCCATTGAACTCGCGGATGCCCAGACTGGAGACTCTTAGCATCCGACGACGGAAGAAAATGAAACGCAGTTACTAAAAATATCAATTTATACTAAAAATCTTGAAAATAGATAGAAATCTTCGAAGCAGTAAGGAAAATTCCACAGTGCCCCGGCATTTTTTGAAAATTTATTCACCTTTTGCGAAATTTTTGGGGGAAACTTTTTCACTTTTCCTTTACGAGACAAGGGTTACATCTGAATTCGTAGTGGTTTTTCACCAGTGGCACAGGCCCCGGAACCAGACACCCAGTACCCCCCCCCCCCCTTGTGGCGGGCCTGATCGCAGCTTCTATCAAATTGCAATTGCCCGGAAACTAGGACCCAGTGGCGTGCGGTCCGGATAAGCAAGGCAAGCAGTGCTTGCCCAAAGATTTCAAACGATAGAAGAAAATTACACCTATATTTCATGTTGAACATTTTAGCAATATATAATTCATAAAAGCTGTTCAGTAAGTAAATTGCATTAAATACAGAAAAAGAGAGGGACAGAAATACGTGTATAGAGCCACAGCAGTGGGAAAGCGGCAGGGCGGATGGAGGTGGCGCAGCGCGCTGCGCGGCCCGAACACGGGCCAACCCATGCGCTGGAGAATCGCTTGCGATCAGCTGAGCGGAGAGCCACTGCTCGGCGGCGGAATCAAGGCGGGCGGGTAGAGCGGTACGTTCCGAGTCCGAGCCCTTCGCTGCGCTATCGCAGCTCGCTTCTTTTGGCCATCTCATGGCCCGTCACCGCAGCGCGCTGCTTCTGCCTCCGATGCGCTATCTTGGTCCCTCTTTCCGTCGCGGTTGTAATTGCTCCTCCGGAGCAAATGCCCTTAAATTCTATAAAATTTCGCTCTCTTGGATCTAATTTCTGATGAATTAGACAATTCTGAATCATGTTTTAAATGCAGAAAGCTAATTTTTGGGGAAATTTATGTAACTCAAAAAATTCTTACAGCAAAATTAGGAGTTAAGAGCATGGAGCCGTCCTCCAATGATCAAAAACATTCGAAACAAGTTGAGTAAACGAAATCATAAGTAAGAGAGAAAGAAATAAAGCCACAGTTTTTCAAGACGTTCCATCAGATTTCATCCGAAA